AACCAGGTGGAGATCTCCAGGAAACCACTTTCCTCCCATTGCTGAGGAACCATGAGAGATACCAGAGCACAATACCAATGTTCCCATTTCCCAACGATGGGCTAAGACCAGACCAGGAGAAGCTCAGCCACCATGCTAACGCTTTGGGCTGCAGGATGTCTTGGACGAGAATGGATGGGTCTCCAGCCCAAAGGAGGACAGTCAGCTTCCTTTTCCTGAGGCTATATTGGTGTTGTATGTGAGTCTGGCTTGAGAGGACGCAGGGTTCTTCTATGGCAGTGCTCCACTGAAGGTGGCAATGGGTAAACACAGGAGAGAATGAAACTCAGAGGGGTCCTGGGCAGGCAAAGAGGACCTTCTCAGTGCAAAGAGATCGCTGTCCCTGGGTTTGTAGCACACAGAGATCTCACACCTGCAGGGGAATAAGAAGAAACCAAGTTATAAGTAAGGTGTGTGGCTGAGTATCACGGTCCTCAAGTGCAACAGAAATATCTGCAAACAAACAGGAATCAGTGCAATCTTTAATAGGACTGGAGTTTGACTGCTGAGAGTTCAGGTCTTTAAGCTGTCTCAGACTGGGACCTAGAGCAGAAGCATCCATAAAGATTAATTTCTGAAACTCATTAGGGAAAACAAGAACTTTTGCATCCTCTAGGTTTTGGGGAGAGGGAAGTAGCTCCTTTTCCATGCTGTGCATTGAACTCTCGCACTAGCCCCTTGAGGCGCACAACAAACAAGTTAAGTAAAACACTTCTCTTTAGGGTTATTTAAGAAATAAGATCTTTTTCCCTTGGAGGCAGCATAACCTTGCAGAGTTCTGCTCTCTCTGAGGGAGAAATGAAAATGCTTGCACATTTAAGACACGTGGATCAACTGGTTTGATCTCTCTGTGGTCATGGAATTATGTTGTCTATAGTGAGTTCTATCACCTGAAGAGCCAGCTTGGTGACCTGGGGACAAGGCTGATGGATGTCCAGTCAAACAAACAATTCTTACTCTACCCCAGTCTCTCCCATGAAGATCATGGGTTGCTTCTGCAATAGGTATGCCAAACGTGGTGGAGAACCCAAATGAGGTTTAGAAGTTGAAGGCTCTGCTCATATGCCCAGTGCTCTCTAAACACCTCATTCATGTTGCGTAGCTTTCCTCTGGCTTATGACTGGTCTTGCTGAAGGAGCTGGCTTTACAGAGTTGAACAGTTAACTGGGGACCACCCTTTAGACTGTGGCAGTCATGAAGGTAAATTACTGCTGGGATCTAAAGCAGGACCATCCATCCCATCCGAGTTCAGCTGAACTACAGAGCTTGGAGCTATGTCACCCAGCTTGGGCATCTGGCATAGATCCACCATGGTGCTCAGGACCATGTACTCTCTGTGCCCACCCACGCTTCATGGACAAGCCCTTATACACAGGATGCACCATCCCAGGAGCATTGACTGCAGTGGGCAGCAGCCACATTGCAGTACCTACCTGGTTACACTCTGCAGGATCTTCTGCTCATCCTGGTCCAGGCACACGGCGAAGGAGGACTGGAGACCGATAATCTGGACCTTGTCTACTTTTATCTGGGACACACTGATCTGCTGATGGAAAAAGAGCCTGAGTGAGTGAGCTACCAGGCTCAGTGCATTATCCCTGTGCAAGGAAGGGGAGCTGGGCACCTCTAAGCCAGATCTGATGGCCAACAGTAAATAGATCCCCCAAGGAGCTACTGTCTCCTGCCCTGCTTCCTCCCCAGCTGACTAAGGCTGATATCCTGCTACCAAATATAAAAGCACCTTGATTTGAGTTACCTGATTGAAACTTTTTTTGGATTTGGAATTTTGCCTTTTGACCACCTCCGTCATCGTCAAGTTGAGACACTCTGTCTTTGAGGCTGTAACAAAAGCAAACTGTTATCACTTGGGTTTTCTGGGCCACTGGTGGGAACCCGCGTTGTCCCTCCACCCCTCAAAGCACCCCAGAGACAGTGGTTGTCAGCAGGACTCCACTGTCAAGGGAAACACAATCCCATTCTAGCTTTCCTTGCCCAGTGCTAACCTACACGGAAAGAAAACGGTCAGAGAGACAGAGGTAACTTCAGAGTAATTTCCAACCGCTTTCCAAACATAGCAGCAAAGGGGTTTAACTGTCTTAGGACCTAAACAGGAGAAAACCCATTGCCCCATCATCACGACGAAATTCCAGCTCTCCCAGCATGGCCTTTCCTGCAGTCCACCTGGAGATGCTTTTTCGTGTCTGGAATTACAGTGACATCCTGTGGTCAAGCTGATGAATGTGAAAACCAACACAGACAATTCAAGGGGACTGGTTTTCTCTTGGAAGGAAGGAGATTCATGAAGGAGAAGCTTCTCCCAAAAGTGGAACTCAGAACACCCCCTGAAGCAAACGCACAGAGCTGGCAGCACAAGTGAAGCTCCTGAATCAGTGCAGAAATACCCAACTCAAAATGTATAGAGGAGGCGAGAAATTAATTCCTGCTTGGCTGCATGGATGGGGTAGCAACAGGAGGGAGAGGAGGGACAGAGGTTTAGGTTGAGCTCCGTGGGGCATGCAGGAGCTGTCTCCGATGTGGTAGATCACCTGTTCGCCTGGCTACTCTGCTCACAAACCACACATCTGCCAGACACAAAGCATACAAGGAAAGTGGACCTAAAAAAACCCTCAGTTTACTTGGAACTGGGTGTCTGATTGCCAAAACAGCAGTTCTTAACCAACAATGAACAGGTATTGTTTCTAAACACACACACAGAGTAAAAGTCTTGCTGCTTTTAAAAGGCTCAAAGCCTTATTAATACCCCATTGGAAACCTGATTAGAAAAACAAGTTATGAAGCAAAACCACGTGGCCACCAGCTCTCTCTGAGCTGCAGGAAGGAAGCCAGGCTGAAGCATCAGCTCAGCAAGAGCCTGCTGAAAGTTGCTGCAGATGGCAGGACAAGTACCCTCTCCCTTGGTCCTACTTCACTGAACAACAGTTTTACCTGTCTCTCCTCCTTACTAAACAAGTGTTGTTCTGGAAAGCATCACTCTCCAGTGACAATCCTGCTGTTTGGACCGTCCCAGCCCTGTCCCTAATGGACATCCCATTTCCCTGGCTGGAAGCTTTAAAACAATGGGAAATCAAATGCCCTTCATCCCCGATGTTGCTAAGAACAGCCAAAGACTACAGTATGACCCAGGGAACACCAGGCACCTTCCATGTATCTTCTGCATTCACACATCCCTGCTTTGCTCCAGCTAGAAGATCCACACTGCCCTCTTGCTCCACCAGTCCCTCCCATTGCTCCCTACGCAAAGCCACAAAGACCACCTCTACCCACCTAGTTCTTCATACTTCTTGCAGGCTTTGCTAAGGTTGACAGATGTGCAGACCTTCTCAACATCGTTCCAGTGACTTCTTCCGCTGATGGCTGTCTGCAGAGACCAAGCAAAGCCCATGAAATGCCATGCTCCCGGCTGATGTTACCCTGCCTCCCACCCCTAACCACCTGGCTGGACTAGCTCAGGTCTGGAGCCAGAGCTGCATAGACAACATTTTAGTAGGCACTAAAATTCATTTAACCTTGGATTTATAAAAATTCCCCAGGCTTAGCACTAAATAACTGCAGAGGGACCAACAAAATAGGAGGACTTATGTGGCCAGCAGCAGATCACTCCCCCAAAGCAAAGTCCACCAGTGTAAAGTGGCACCCAGTACACGTCCAGTCTGTGGCAACTGGCTGCACATTCTCTGTTTTACTGGGCTAAACAGGAGTGGAAAGCCACTCCCAATTAGCCAGTAAGTAGACAATTAGCTCGAGTTTGGTTTGTCTGGGCTTGGATTCAGGCTCCTCCAGCACACCGCCAGGATTTGCCCCTCTCAGCCCCCAGCAGAGAGACGTGTTTGCCCAGCACTGAAATGGTTTTCTGCCCCATTTGCCTTTGTGCAAGCCCCATGCACTCACCTTGCTGTAGGCGATCTGTAGTGTTAGTGGGATGGCTTCTCTGTCTCCATCTATGCCCAGCCTTTTGCTGCCCGGACCTGCACAAAACAAGGAGCAAATGTCACAGGGTGGCCTTTTAACCCCGTTCTTCAGCAGGCTACTGATACGGCAGCATCCTCAGTACCTACAGAAAGGGGAAAAAAATGGTTTGCTGAACACAGCTACGGAGCAAAAAGGCAGAAAGAAAAGGTGGCTTAAAAGCTGCCAGAAAGCAATTAATCCAGTGCAGAGATTTCAACACAAAGCACAACAAGCAGCTCTGGAAAACTGAAAGCGGTGCTGGCTAAGCCGGTGCAGAGGGGTCAGTGCTCCAGGGAAAACACAAAGCAATAAAAGGCCGCGTTGCTAACCCAGCTCCTGTTTTTCCGGGCATATTTGTGCCCACATTAAATTAGCCTTGAAATACTGTGCCCGACACTTACTAACTTTTTTTTTTCCTGGATAATTTTTTGCAGATGTTAAGTGGTGTGCTGCCAGACAACCCAAGGGAGAAAAAAAACTAAACAAAAAACAAAACAAAACCGAAGTCAGAAAGGATTGCTCGTTTCATGAGTTATTGGGAAGAGGTCTCAGCCAAGCTGCTATTTTGGGGGAGTGGGGTAGTGACACTTCATACGGAGGGTATTTTATGAGCACCGTTTAGAAAGACAAGGAGAGATCAGAGAAAAGCAATTGGGTAAAAAAAAAAATAAGCACCGAGTTGAAATGCAGTATTGTTGGTTGGCCGTGAGATGTCTCTGCGAGCTGCGGCACAGCAGACAGCATCTTTTTAGTAGAGACAGCAGTGACAGGACGAGGGGTAGGTTTAGGCTAGATATAAGGAAGAAATTCTTTACAATGAGGGTTGTGAAACACTGGAACGGGTTGCCCAGAGAGGTGGTGGAGGCCCCATCCCTGGAAACATTCCAGACCAGGTTGGACAGGGCTCTGAGCACCCTGATTCAGTTAGCGGTGTCCCTGCTCGCTGCGGGGGGGTCGGACTAGATGGCCTCTGGGGGTCCGTTCTGATCCCAAAACTTTCTATGATTCTGTGATTGTCCTCGGTACCCAGCAGAGCTGGAGACCATGCTGCAGGCTGATGCTTCTGCCATTGCTTCTGATCTCTACTAATTTGATAAATTCCTACTGTGAAAGCTCACGGATCTCCCTTGCAGGAAAGGCTACAAGTATGCACACAAACCTTGCTTTGCCCCGTAAACTAAGGAAAATGGAAAGAGGGGTTTTATATAAATGACATGCCAGGACACAGAAAGCAGCAAAAAGAAAAGATGAAGAGCTGCACTTGGCCAGGTGCTGATGAGAGAAAGGAAACGGGCTTGAAGCTGTCTTACTGCAGATGTGTTTTAGAGCTCACAGCACTAAAAACAACAAGGCATTGCCACAGCTTCACTCTTGAAGAGGAATGTGAGAACCGTAACGCCTCACTTCCAAATTTGTGAAGCGAGATCTGGATCTTTGCTCATGATGCAGCCCGGGCTCAGATCTCTCTCGCAGCCCACACTCCCCCCGGCCCCTCTTTGCCGTTCTCCCGCAGCCCAGCGGTTTGCAGACCTCCACCCCGAGGCCGGGGGTGCAGACGCCGTTACAGACCTGACGCCTTGATGGCCCGCGTGGCCGCAGAGTGACCCAGCTCGAGGGAGTGGATGAAGACTTCGGTCATCTTTTCTCCCCCAGTGAAGGTGAGCTGCCAGGGGTAGAAGAGAGGAGATGGGGTGGTGAGGAGACCCAGCCTGCCCCAGGCAACATTCACCCCTCTCAGTGCTTTCTAAAGGAAACAGGTCAGTTTGGGAAAATCCTTTGAAGTTTTCAAAATACATCTTTTTACCACTGGCTGGGTGACACTTGCCTTTAGCTGTACTCCCGACTGTTTTAACAGATCAGCAGCAAGTAAAACTGCCCAAAAAAGTACTATTCACTGAAAGAAAACTCCCCAACTCACTGAAAAGAAAGCCGACGATGAGCCTAGCAGCAGGGTCTGGGCATGGCTTTGAGTAACACAAATCCCACGAACAGCAGCAACCCTGCTCGCCACGGTCCCACTGCAGGTGGTCCCACGTCACAGCACCAAAGCAGTCCTTGCAGCCGGGCATTCAACCTTCCCCACCGCGTCTCCCACATGAGCACACAGTGGGGCGTGGAAAACGGGCTTTGTGGAAGGGCTTGGTTTGGAAAGCAGAGCACTGGAGGGACTTCCAGCCACGCGAATAATCTGTCGACACTGACAGGAGTCGCTTTGTGTCATGGGGCAAGGTATTTGGATGGAAAACTGCTTGTGTAATTTAAGGATTAACTGGGCAGGACATGCACGCTCTCAATCCGTGAGCCAGGAGCATCAGCCAAAGCACTGTGGGCACCTGGGGAGTAAGAAGAGACCGAGCTCTGCCTCACCAGCCCACGGTGGGTGTGCCATACCCCCATCTGCTTCACAAGTAGGTCCTGAGTTGGTGGCACAGGCAGAAGACCTCCCCTTTCCCCCCTGCCAGTATGGGGCTGAGCCCTTTTGCCTACCTCCGCCTGGTAGAGCTGCAGCAGGACGGGGCGCGTGGCAAAGCGGCAGTAGTAGAGGATCATGTCTGCTAGGATGGGCAGTTGCTCCGGGGAGTCCTCCTGGGGCTCAGCTTCCGGCTTGGCAGACTGTCATGACAGAATAAATCACAAGCCTGATGGTGCATGTGGTACCCACAGCCCAGTGCCAAGAACTGCCTGTCCCACCCCACTGGCGACAGAAACGCTCCTCCTGACCCCCACGAACCCCCCATCTCCATCCCATGTCCATGTAGCACAGCTTGCTGTACAGGATCATGGTGGCCCAGCTCTAAGCAGAAGCTCTCTGCTCAGCTCCCCTGTACCTCGGGGAAGGGGACATACCTGACACAGAACGTCCATGGGCAGGTTCATCAGCCCAAGAACGTTGCGCTCGTACCATGGGTCCAACATGCCGATGTAGTGGGATATGTCGTTGGTGCTGCTCTCCATCCTAGTCAAGGTGGGATCCTGAAACCAGACACACTGGGGTCATGCCAGGAGGCCCCCAGGCTCCTCACCCCATGCTTGAGGCTGGTGGAAGAGGCACCAGGGCACCCCTCAGCCTGCCCTGCCAGCCTCCTCGCACACCGCTCTTGGGGCCAAGTAGAGTGCTGGTGGCACCGCAAGCCCCATGGCAAGCAGAACACTCACTGCCTGTGCCGAGGCCCGGAGCTGAGGGTCCCCTGGGGACGGAGAGTGATGCATCAGTGGGGTCGATGGAGCCAAGCAGCTCCTCTTCACAGGGACGTAGAAAAACTGCAGCTTGAAGTACCTTGTCAGTGAGGGGCAGGTGCTCTCCTTGAGCCTGGGAGAAGGTAGGAGAGGGCTGGGTGAGTAAAGCTCTCCTCTGTGTCCC